ACGCACCTAAAACAATTGGCTTCATTTTTATGAAGCAAATACGGTGCTTCCTCAACTGACAACTGCTCGAAGATGGCAGGTTATTGGTATGCGGAATACTGGCATGCCACTGATGGCTATTGCAAAAGATGTTTGTTGTCATTCGTCTACTATCAGCCAAGTGGCCAGAAAACAGCAGCGACCTAATAACAGCAGATCTAAAGTAAGTGAAACTGAGGTTCAGATAGGTTCTTTTCCTATGTTTAATGGTAACATATTAATACTATGGAAGATGTCTGGCTATGCGATACTTTTTCCAGGTGTATATTAGAGCAAATTGAGTATTTTAGTTTTCTCGTCCTCGAACACGGTAGTCACGTTTGTCAGGTGTCTCCATGAATTCAACTTGTTACCTGACTTCAATAATCTCGTCCCCTGACATCAGCATGTGCTTGTTCAGTTGACATCACTTCTTTAAGAGGCATTTAGAAGTTGGAACAGTAAGGAAAAATAACAATATATAGGATGAACAACTTCTTTATTGAAGTGAGAGTATGCAATAAAGAAGTAGTTTATCCATATATCATCCTTCCTTAAGTTGACATTAGTATATTTCCCTTTGGAACATCGAATGAACGTTAAATCGTTCATTTACCAGTTCACTGATGTAGGCCAAAGCACGTCAGGTAACCATGGGCAATGATGTGATAACAAATGTAGACGTTTCCAATCACACGTGAATATTTTCAGACCAGATGTGTCGAAACAAGGCAACTAAGTGTTGTCATCAATATATCCCAAATGCCACTTGATGGTAGAGTACAACCAACTTATTGAGAATTTAAAGATAGTAATTTTTCACCCATTACTCACGTATTAAATGTGAATATTTGCAGAACATAACTCCAGATTCAAAGACAGGTGAACAGTTAGTATTTTGTCAAGTCACCATCGGCAGCAATGCAGGCTTCAATGCGGCGGGGCATACTACTGATCAAAGAAGTTAGAAAGTCGTGGTCCATGCTGTCCCAATATCGGACCACCTCTTCTTTCATTTCAGCAATATTTGTCAGATTTTTCTTATTGACACTTTCCTTCATAAGTCCCCTAATATTTTCTATTGGATTTAGGTCAGGGCTGTAGCTTGGCCAATCTAATAATGTCATATTTTGGGTCCGAAACCAGGCCTTCTGAATGCTTTGAACGATGTTTTGGGTCGTTGTCCTGCTGGAAAATCCAAACATTTCCAAACAACACGTGAGCAGATGGAAGTAAATGTCCCTCGAGAATATCTGTGTACCGCTCACTGTTCATATTCCCTTCAAATACACAGAGCGGCGTTGCCCCTAACACAGATATGCCATCCCACACGTTAAATTTCATCTGAGAAAATCACATTGTCCCAGTTAAAATTTCTATGCTGTAAGCACCAGTTCAACCTTCGCTCCTTTTGTTCAGGTTTCACGATCGGTGATGGAATTCCTCGACTTTTCTGCCAACCCATTGCATGCAGCTCAGTTCCTCTATCAATCATATCCAGCCTTAAGTTTTCTACACTCCTTCGTTTGTTTTTAGAAACAAGAATACCAAGCCGCCTCCTTTCACCAACAGTCAATTTTCTGGGCCTACCTGCGCCTCCCTGGTGCTCAATGCCATATCCATTTGCGATAATTTTCAAAACACGAAAAATAGTGGACAAAGGGATGCCTGTTCTACTTGAAATCACTTTAGCTGATCTGATGTCCTTGTTATAATACTCTAAAATCAACTTCCTCTTCTCTAAATCATCCATACTGGGGATCATTGAAAATGTCGTCTGCTAGCAAGTAAACAAAGGGGGATAACTCTTCACAAACTAATGAAAAAGGATTAACGGAGTTGTCTCTCTTGAATGAAACCAAGCACTTGATAGCTGGTCAAGGTTGTTTATACTAGAAATCCAATGAAACATATTCCTAAAATTCTCAATCATGTCTGGTCATACTAGATATTGTTCAGCTATCTAAAGATATAGATTATAAATTTCGACAGAATCATTCAGCTGTACCTCTTTCATATTACCGCTATGGTTTAAGAGACATATTCCACACGAAACAATCGTGGTATGGTGATTTCAAGTAGTCTGCATATATCATAAGTGACGTTCTTTTTCTTTAGCACCTGTTTGTGATGGGAACCACAGGTGCTAGCAGAATTAGTTCCCCTTTACTCTAGCACCTGGTACTATCACTATTTCATTGTGATTTATATACACATGCTCGTGAATAGTGCAGAATATGATTATCATTATGGAAATGGGTTCTGCTGCTTATATTAAAGTAACATTATAGGCCATTATTATCATCTCGACACTAGATGCTGGAATCGCACACAAGCTACAAGCTGAACAGGTTTCATGCCACATGTATGCACTGAAAGGACAGGAACGTGATGGATGACGTGTGATACACACAGGACTGACTGACGGACAGAGGTGAATTCACCTGCACTTTGTCATTCATTGGCGTGTTTCACACATAGCAGCCAAGTGGAGAATGGAACCCCGGAATTCTGTGCTACATGTACGCACGCACTCACTAGGTCTGCTGAACTGAATCATGCATGAAGCGATTACTAAATACGTCAGTTTGTATAAGGTATTTAGCTCTGGTATGTGATTGAAGGTTGCAGTTCAAGGAAACGACTTTCCGTACATATAGCTGCTCTCCAAAGCGTTTAATCAGATCAAAGAATTACAGAATTACACATCAAGTCGTACAACGGTGGCCCACTGCTATTTCATCCATAGCAGGACATCCGTTCCAGTTCCAGATTCGACCACGTTACAGATCTCGTTTTGTGAGCACCTTACGTTCATGGTGACTTTGTAGAAAACGTCAACAACATGAATCAACATATACTTTACATGAAATGAGGAACAGCCAAACTAGGCTGTTTGTTTTGTTTGTTGTTTAACACTGTACCCCGAAACATTCCAGTTATATGGAAGCGGTCTGTAAATAATCGAGTCTGGACCAGACAATCCAGTAATCAACATCATGAGCATCGATCTATGCAGCTGGAATAAGATGACATGTCAACCAAGTCAACGAGCCTGATGACCCGATCTTGTTAATCTCCTCTTTCGACAAGCATGCCAAACTCTGGACTGGCAATATCTGTGTAAAGCTGAATCTATGTGCACGTCATATCCTTACGTGCTCATGCACTTAGGTGTATGGAGGGTGAACATAAACTGCTTATTGCTATTGCGTGCTTTGAGAATGTATCTTCGTAAATGAGCTGGACTTGAAAAAAAATACAAAACATTTCCGACCGAAGGAAGTCTTATGTACACTGAACTTGTCAATAGGAGGCAGTCATGGTGGATCATTCAAAAGGTGACAATTTGAAATGAGAACAACTTCTAGGGCTGCATGGTGTGACCAGTATACCGCAATACTCTTTTCAATCTTGCAATATCTTTCATGATAACCGGTATAAAGGGTAAAGGAATGTAAGACGGTTTGTGACTTTCATTCGCAACTGATGTTTCTCTGAAAGCAATTGACAAAAAGGCATGCTGTACATACAATAGTATATATGTTATATATAAAAAAGAATCCCTAACTACTCAACCTAAAACTGAGATCTTTTCCAAGCATATATTTTAGGACTTGATGTGTAGAAAATAGGATCTGATTGTGCGATCATTTTCCTTCCTAGGTATGCATTCTTGGATGACCATGTTTCCGATACTGAGACTAACGGCAAGTTAAGTAATGAAGGTTCTGTTGTTACGCTGTCTGTAGTCTGTCGGTAGTATGCACTTTATTCGTGTAGACTTTGATTTGATACAAGACCTAGAACTTGTATTTCACTAATTCAAGTCACGAAAACACCCAGTCACCGTGATATCCACAGAAACAAAGCTACCTGGTTGTGTATTTGATTCCAATGGAACCTGTGAGCTTTGAAATACTGTACTTCAATACATTCTTCATAGTTTGGCTCACACGTTTTAAGGTATCTGTTGACGCTAAAATAAGATTCTACTGTAGTTACAGGTGATGTGAACGGTCTGTCTGTCTACATTACATTATCAAACAAGAAATTCATTAGTCTACATCTCCTCGTAATGTCATTGGAGAAATTAGATGGAAATCATAAAACACGAAAAGTAATCCAATATAAAGTGAAAAGGGATCACATACAAACTTAATAAACTACACGTAACATAAGTGTTTAGGTGCGTTTTTACATATGTATTGTATACTATATTTACCGTATGATGATAGATATGGATCATGACACTACATATGCACTTACACCATCCAACGTTGAGAGTCAAACAGTACCACCCTGGTACGGGTATGCAACTCTTTTGCAACCATGGGCACTTTGACGTACATTTTGCGGTCTAAATTCAACACACGAATCAATAGATAATCATTGGAGGAATGGGACGGCATTGTGATGTGCTGTATTTAATTTTTAATATCAGTGTATATATCTGTACAGATCTCTGCACTTGTGAAGATCCGGGTACGAATTGGTCTTCAGCAACACATGCTGGTCGTAAGAAGCGACTAACCGGATGTCATCGTATCCCAATGTTTGTGATCACTGGATCGTCTTGTCAGTGAACATATATCTGTACACATTTCACCCGGGATCTGGTGGTCTGTCTCGCTAACCTGGTTGACATGGCAACGTATTGCAATTGCGTAGATATTGCTGAGTGCGGCGTTAAACAGAAAACCAACCATCACATTTCTGCCGGGATGGCGTGGTCAGTTTTGCTGACTTGGTTGACATGTCAACGTATTCGAACTGCGTAGATCGATGCTAATGCTGTTGGTCACTGGGGTCGGTTTGACATGGTTGACGCATGTCAACGTACTCCAACTGCGTAGATCAATATTCAGGGTGTTGATCACTGGATTGTCTGGTCCAGATTCGATTATTTACAGAGAGCTGGAATATTGCTGAATGCGGCGTTAAACGACAAACAAAAACAACAACATCTCTACATGATAAATAATAAAATAGTTATAACAGAGGATGACTTTATGAATATAATGAACAGATAAAGAAACATTGCCTGAAGCCTCATGACGTGCAATTCGGCTTTTACGTAAGTGAATTAAACAATAATACAAATGACCTTCGCGGTCCAAACATTGACATTTCATTGTTTCATCCATTGTTTCTGAATTTGTCGAATATATAGCATATGATATTTCGGGAGAACGCATTTGTATTATTAAAGTACACGTGTAATTATACTAATTATACTGTGAACCCAATATTTGTAACAGTGAACATTGTCAGTAACAAAACCCAAAGAGACAATCGTATGACAAAGCAAGCATTGTGAGTAGCTAAAAGAGTATATCATCTTGCATTTGAGTGATAGCTGTCCCTCTAAAACGAAGACGAGGTATAGGAAAATATCGCAGTGTAAGAACAGTTCTTACCTTAAGGTAGAAAACTTAGTTTACTGTTCACAATATTCATGTAGAAAAATATGAGAAAGCGGTATGATAAACCTTTGATACAATTGTTCGGCTTTTACTCAACTAAAGGCCGGGATACTTTAGTAGTATTCTTCCGCCGATTCCATAATGTAATGCCAACGAATCACCCCACAACCCATGTTCTGTGTAATTTCTCGCCAGTGGAGAATTTCGCTGTCTTCCGTTGCATCACACCCAAATCGCACTTGACCAATGACACTGTCACTTCGAATACGGTCATGGTCCAGGACTGTTACACAGACTGACATGCAACGTAGGACATCGGGTCTGACGCTGCATATGTCGAACGTCAACGCTTCTTTAAACACCGGATGGGACGTCTTGCGTCGAACGCGGGTTTGGAGACGTGTTGGTTCCTCACCAGGTTGGCTTAATTCCACTCGAACATAAGGATCTGGAAAATTAAAAAAACCGTTTGCAATTTATGGTTTCAGAGAGTGCTGTTGGGCATTATACCCTTTAGATAAATATTAAGACATTTAATTGGTTAATAGCCAATGCATATGAAACTGTAAAGTTTCACGGGTAGTATGAAACCAATCAATATCGTCCTGTTACAAAATGTAGCATGGACGATCTTGACATAATGCGACCTTTGGCATTGAAATCCAACTCACCTGGAGAAGTAATACATTATTATCCCTAAAAGTCCTTTTTATCACACCTTTTTTTCAAATATGTTACTTTTTATCTATAAAGTGGACGTAGATTGGTCCTAAAGATGTATCCTAAACGGTGGTATTATTTGAAATAACAAGTTCCTTAAAATATAGTTTTCATGTCCCTTCTAACATCGATCGATAATGTTCGTCTGCGACTTGCGTCACAGCTTATGACGAAACGTTGTGCCCCCCATACCTAGGCAGAAATATAAAAGAAACGGATGACAGAATTTGGCACCTGAAAAATCTAAAATGAAATTAATTCGTTTACACATTTTTCCAGATGCTGGAATACCCCGCCATTCTAAATGTTTCAGAGAACAGCAACATTTGGAGTGAGCATACTTCTCGCCGCTTTGAATAGGCTTTCTGATCATTATATATCGTGTCAGTTTTTTATGGGAAGTAAAACCGAAGTGAATCCTTACTTAGACCTTTATCATTTTGGAACCCAGGAGCACGAATATATTACAACATACCAGGGGTCATAATCATGAAGAATCTGTTATTCTATCAAAAGGCATTGGTAGGCCTAACTAATGTACAATGCCATGTAACACGGCAATTCAGACGGTTAGGTCACCTGTGTCAGGACATGATAATTACAAGGTCTGAATGGAATGGTTCAGTACTATATCGAATGTTTATTAAGACCTTTCATACATGGAACACTAATTTATTTGTCCCGTAGGCGAAGTCCCCATATTACAGAATTGCGAGCAATTGCAAATGTCAAAGGTAAGGTGGCCACAGTGACCTGTCCCTTGAGATATTTGCCTCGTTAGATGCCCTGTTAACGTCACAACTGTCTGGATCATTATCCTGAGGACGAAAGTACAAAGTACTTTCTTCTGCCCATGCCTTTCATCCATTTGAACACACATGGCCATTATGGTTGGGAGGTAGTCTTGAAATGATTTACGGGATCTTCCCACGATTACCTCATATACGTACAGTGTTTAAATTATACACGCTTCAAGGACGTTCTTTGATTAGTTTAATATGGGAATGCATATATATTTGATGCATCATCATGTATAATTCACAGACAATACCAGTACAAAAAAATAATTCTGAAGAATTTTAATAATTCTAAAGTGTAATGTGGCTGATAAAATTTGAGAACAATTTTGCATATCTTGACGCAAATGATATCTCATGTCTAACAACACAAAAATCCCTTCCTACATTCAGCCTATGATATTTATCGGTTAATGATAATAGATGCTCAATGAGACAAATATTCGAAAGTTATGACCTTTTGACATTTGAGGTCCACAGCCTCAAGAACATGAAGCTTGATCTTTATTTATAATTGACAAACTACAACAATCGAATACGTATCCTTATATTCTTTAGCTTTACACTGAGTTAAACTTGTAAATTACTGCAGTGGTAATGCTTCATTCCACTTCAAACCTGTCTGATATTGCACAATAAAGACGCTCGTTGTGGTAATATATCACGGAATGTTTCGATAAAACCATTCCGGTTAGTTGCCAGAACCCGCTGAAGCCTTCTACGTTGTAATCAACTTTGGACTTCTATTACACCTTAATTGGTTAACGTGCACCTAATGTTCGTATTTCTGTGGGCTAGAGTGACTAAACTTGACAAGATTTCATTTCAAGTTCACTTAAATTGATAGCGTCACTGCCAATAACTGCGCTATTCTTCCCTAGCATAACTAAGGGGTTCTGCCCAAAGACATAATCAACCTTCAAATTTCACAGAATCTTAGTCGGTTTATCCTTGCTCAAAGGATCACGGAGGGGTACTCCCAATCTCTACACTCACATATGACAGTTAATAATGTAAAATCTCACAATTACGGCAATGTAGGATGAAATCGTAGCCTCAAGGCAGACCGTGTTTCAGGTCGTATCAGCTGTAAACAGACCAAATAATTCGTCAAGGATAATTGCTTGGTAGTACTAGAGGCAGTGTTATCTATAATTGTGCCTACGGTGAGCATAAGGACGAATACAGCCTCTACAAGGTGAGAAGGACTCATTTCCATAGGATGTGAACACGAAAACCGTCGAGCCAACCTGACCGAGATATACACAACGTGGGAAGGTTTTCTGGACTTCGTGGAATCGATTTTTATTAGCTGATGGTCTGAGTCGCCATGCTGACAAATGGACAGATCCAACAGTGGACAAATGTGGTGCGAGCACGATAGCGATCCAGGCGGTATTTCAGATTTATAGATGTGTTAATATCAGCAAACTAATGGAAAAACTACCTATCTGTCAAAGGTAACCCAAGATGGCATTCCCAAAGCCTGAAAAGTATGACGATTGGATAAGACATTGTTGAAGAAAGTCATAATATTTCGTCTTAATTTGAAATCGTCTCCGTGGCTCAATTTTGCTTGTAATTTGTCCGTGGTTTGTTTTGTCATCCACAGATCAGCAATATTCTGTGCTAACTAATGGCGACCATTCACAAAATGGGTTTTTGAATAGACACATCAGGGTTGATGTTGGGTATTGGGCAGTGTAAATCGTTTAATATTGTTTATTGCTCTGTTGTCCAGAATCACCTTGACACTTCTCCACATGTAGGTCAACCACAGCATGGACATTAGGTTCTAGACTTGGGACAATCTCATATATGAATTCAATCATGTTCTGTCACACGATTTCGTTTTGAAGTAAATGAGATCATGATTATTGATACTTCTCTGTATTGTCCAAACTGGAACGTTGCATATTTGAAAGTATTTTACCACGAATATCGAACTGTTTACCTCAAGGCAAATAATTTATAGCAATCTGGAGATTTGCAGCTTGTCAATTGTCAACTACGGATTGCGTGCTTGTGTGAGAACTGTAAAATTGCCCCGTCATCTTATCGAGGGGAAGGTGGCCGTGTATTCAAGTCAGGAACGGATCTTTCGCCATTACTTTACAGTCATCCTCTCAGTGTTTCCGCGAGTGCAGATTAACACACGAGGTATGCTTCGTTTCGCAAATGTATGTTTGTGAACCTGCCATTTACACAAACCATGAAAGTGTTAGTATGCCAAAATGTTGAATATGCATTCACAGCAATGACTCATATGACATCATTATATACGGCATACCTGACACCGGCATATACGGTATGTGTAACATAGTTATATAAGGCATTCGTAACTTGATAAATGCGTTTGTAAAGATGCATTGTCAAAGTGCTAAGAGAAAACTAAGCCTTTGCTTCCGGCCACAATAAACATCTGTTCCTGTCAGCACATCCCCTCAGTAGATGGTCATTCTAGGATCCACAACGAGGAAAGTAATACAACTTAATTCAAAGGTGTACAGTCGAGCTTTCATCGAATATTAGCTTGTGAAACAACAAAAGCTGGCAAACAAATATATTATAATATGATATGTAACGTTCATGGATGTGCAGGTGTTCGTCTGGGAAACATACTTCAGCATCAGCATCAACCATTGCCATTCAATCTGATTCCTTCATGTCAAAACCTTGTTCGAGGTTTAGTTTCCCCTTGCTGTAAGTGGCCAGCATTCATCAAATTCAGCCGTCCCCCGGGGCTATGTTAGATCCGTCAGTGATCTCGACGATTTGCAAGCCATGCTCAGATTCCCTTGAACTCATAGATGTCTGTCCAGGGACTAGGTCGGCTTATGAAAACGGGGAACCATTTCACGACAACACTTACCTGCCTAACTATCAACATGAACTCCATCTTTATATTTTGTATAATTCAAATTCATGAAACATCTACTCTGAATATCAAGAAATATCAATAGAAGTTCCGAAATGTGTAAGCTGCTGATGGAAGCCCTACTCACGGTTTGATGTCATGCGAAATGAATAAATGATTTGAGAAGGTCAAGCAGTTTTTATCTCATAACTTCAAACGATTCCATTGCTTTAGATGAATATGCGAACAATCATGACCTTGATGTGCCAAATATGATAACGGTGTATCTTTTAGCTCACTACGCTTGGTTTGTCTTAACGTGTTACAGAAATTGGTTTTCAGTAACGAGATTGCAATTCGAAAACGATATCGCAAATAATAATGTCTCTGGGCATCACGCTGCGCTTGCACTTGCCTGGCTTAAGGGTCAATACATGGATGGTGTATGAAGCCAGTATATCAGACAAGCCGACACTGATCAATTGTCAGGAAATCACCACAAGATGAAATTAATTGTTTTTGTTGCCAAAATATGATGTCGCCAGTAATGTTAATTATGCAGCTACCTAAAATATTTCAGACAACAAATAATTGGGACAAATAACTGCAATGTCTGGCATACGTTATTTTCGTTGTAGATTAATCTATCAAACCTTATTAGGAATGATGTACCGACCCTCAAGATCCATGGATATCAAGGTACTTGCTAAATGGGCCTGGTTATTCTCTTGCGTTGACGTTTAATGTTTGACAGAAAATCTTGAAGAAAATGCTGATAAATGGTCTCAGGTTTTATCCCCAAAGTAATGTGCTGGCTGGATATGATGGAGGTGAAACAAACATGAGCTGTTCCAAAACGGCTCGTCCTTTCGGAGGATAACATTTATGTTTTGACCATCTATGTACGAGGGACATACCAAACACCCGCACGAAAAGTCCGGTTTGAACGTTGACAACATATAGCCTTGAGGGGAAAACGATTAAATGAAACGTCATTTAACACGGGTTCGATAGCCAAGTTGGCAAACATGTGTTACGTACAGCGAAAATGCTTTAGTTTTGCACACGGCAAAACCCTTAAATTCTCTTCCTCTTTGACAGTAGAGTCAGGTATTGGATCCCATATTTCAGTTTGTCAATGCAATTCTGGCCTTTTGGTTAGATTACCAAGACTGGTTGTTCTTTGGCGTTGACCTTCAACGGTAGATTTATACAAAAATACACATTGGCTGCGTACGCAGTACCCCGATTAACTGTATACATGTAGATCAAATATGATTGTCCATAACGACGTGGAACGGCTGTGAAACAAATGCAATTTGTAGTTACCCTGAAGCTATACTTCATCATGCACCAACGTTTACAGATACACAACTACCACTTTAAAGGTCACTCTAATCAGATTTAGGGAGTCATTGCTACCATACCTAAATTAGACATGAGATGTGGCTGCGTATGAATGCGGGTCAATTTCGAAATCCAACTTGATATCAAAGTGTAAAGGTGACTAAGGTCACACGATGGTTCCACAACACATTTATGTCAACCATAGGGCATTTGTTACCTGGAGGTCCTGTGATCTGATGATGTGGCAGACGTGTTGCTTGACCAATTGTCACCTTTAGCTGTTTTTGCTGGGCATCGATTTGCAAAGTCACTTGAAGATGCCCTAGATCCTCCTTGGAATTGAGACGAGAAATCAATGAATTCGCATATACAAATGTATAAAACCCCATCATTGTCATCGAAAATAAATATCATTTCACAGACCAGCCTTATCGATGTGTTCTTTATACAACTTAGAAATGATATTCACAAACGAGTGTCAAGTACGTAGAAAGGCTTATACTCGTGATGTATAGCTAAACTCTGTCTTTTCAAACAATAATTTGATTTAAAATATTATTTTAATGATTAACTGTTTTGTCAATCGTCACTAAGATCATCCCCTTGTTCTTCTTAAGCCATCTGCATTTTCTATATTTTGAATGTAATGATGACTTGTATTATTTATTAAATGAGAGTTTGATCAAATCGGGTTATTCTTATAAATAACAAATAACAGTGAATTACCTCGCCTTCCCGTTTCGGCTCGATGTCCCGCCACATCCGATTTTCTTGAAACAGATCGAATTTCCCAAGAGCCATGTTAAGTTCCCCCAGATACTCATTGGGCTTGAGATGTCCTTTGTTGTAGAGTTTAATTCTTAGTGTCATCTTCTGCAACACTTCAAACGACTGATCATTAAAGAAGATCTCTTCGTTGAAAACAGGGTCTTTGGAATGTTTAGTTATTTCCGATGTTTGTTTCTGAACTTTGCCGGGCATAAGATATAGCTTAGCAAACACATTCAGATGACAGTCAAGTCGATGATGTCCTCCGAGGTTCTCGCCTCTTATCAATAAAACTTTCAGTTGCCTCGTATCTGGCAAATAATGGAACGCAAATTTAAGCTCTCCAAATACAGGTTTCTGTTTCAAGGGGAATGAGCTCCCAGGCACAATGAGACTGTTTACCGAGGACGATCTAGCTTGACCGTCATTGAAGAAAGGGTGGTGAGTGGTAGTGGGTGAAAAGTCAGGCGAGGAATGGCGTTTGGCTGTAGAGCGATCTTTCGGTGACAGGTATGTCGTTCCTTTGCTTTGACATGTTGGAATATTTTCGTTTGAGCTACTATCCTCATTTGAGTCATCCATTCCATCACTAGATTTGGACTGTTCAGCCAATCCAGGTAAAGAAGACCTTCGCCTATAGTACTTCAGAGAGCGTCTGCTACTTTCCCTCCTCGGTAGATTATCCTCATCCACACAAGCAAAATTCACAACAGTAGGCCGAATGCTATGATCCACTGAGTTCCGCTTTAAGTCCTGGAATGTGGGGCCAGTTGTGTGGTCTAAAGAAGCTGCCTTTCGGAATCCAATTACTGGCATGAAATGTAAAGACGATAAATCACCTGTGTGAAATAAAGATTCCTTACGCCTAGTGTGGGGAACTTCTTTCAAAGTCGTGAAACCATAGGATGTGTTGGTCTTGAAATGGGACAGACTCATAGCTGCTTTCGACTGAGGATCTGCATTAGTATTAACATCCACATACACAATATTTGACAGAGACCTTGCCCCAAAAGCTTCAGCTATACGTTTGCTCTCATGTCTAGGAGAGACAGGGGCAGACCGAATATGAACTGGACTCTTGCTTGTTGGTACACCAAGACCAGAAAATGAACCTCTCGGGGATACCCCTGGACTTGTTTGAGCCGAACAGGGAAGGCTGTTCTCGCTTGAGTGACTGAACAGCTCGTCATCATTGGATATAGTGCCTATACTGGGATGACGCGAAGAGTCATTGGATCCAGGAATCACAAACTCTGGTATTGTTTGAGGAGTAACTATTGATCCAAATGATCCCAAACTTTCTTTACCCGGTGGTGAAAGAGGCACTTGTACATGGATATTCGGTATTCGGCATTTGTTGATCAACCAGTCCTTTATGTCTTTAATTGACGTCATGGTTTATTCATTCGTGGATAACATCTGAAATTAAATAAAACAATAACCAAACGGAAAGGAATGAATTTAAAAAGTTAAAATATCACCTTAAATTCTGATTATATGACATTGTTAAAGATGTAGTCATCGAATTCTTTAGGGTGTAAACATGTATTTCGAGACCCATATGAGTGAGTGAGTGAGTTATTATTTAACGTCACATCGGCAATATTGCAGCCATATCGTGACGAGAACATTTGACATGGAAATAGAATATATATAGATATTATAAAAACCTGCCGACGAAGGACAGTAAAACTACTAGAATATCACAATTTGAAGTAAAACTAGCGTAGAAAGTTAAAACAAATAGCACTATTTGGACAATACAATATAAAAAAGTGGCTAGAGATCGCCAACAACTGAAGGGAGATCACCATACTAGGGACCATGAGACCCATATGAAACAGTATCGTTATGTACGAGGATAACAGCTTTTCTTTTCACGTCCATCAAGTGGATTGGACCTTAATGCATACTCGTGAAAGTAATGATACAAAGACAAATATATGTAACACAGAAATCAAGTAAAACATGTAATGGCTACAATGTTGTCACCGAAAAGTATATGTCCTTCAACAGAATCAAAGGAGGAGCAGACGCCTTTGGCAACGTGTGTCATTGCCTGAACAATCTTTTCATTCACAGACAACAAAGGGGATACAGAAAGTGAAAAGTTAAGTAAGAATTTCATACTGTATATCCACAGCGAACGCAATGTGCTAACTTCGTTCATTCTGTCAACTCCATCTGTGTATTCTGTGTAGAATGAAGACGAATGATGAAATTTGTAGATAAATGGTGACAGGTGCCTTCGACTGCAACAGTTTTAACAATTTCAAATATGACCATTTGGCTGTTCCTATATGCTAAATAAAGAAGGTATTGTGAAGACTATGGGGGATTTGTTATGTAATTGTGTGTTTGCATAAGAAATATCGAGATCCGATAGGAATAGAAGTTTGTCTGGAGCATAATGAAAATCATTCAAAACATCTGCATGTCTCCACACAATGCCCTTGAATGTATTTTAAGTTGTGTAATGTATACTTTATGAGTCATTCAGTAAGTGTCTTTGATGTGTTATACATGGGGCGTTCAGGCACAAACCTATGTGGTAATTACACGTTGGAATGGGTCCCCACAGACCTATTGTGATCATTAGAGGTGACACAATGGATCAGATGGTCATTATGGAGTGATTGATTGCATGTCATTGTAATCTGTCCGCGTTTAACATTCCACATTGTTACCACCGGTTTATTTGGCAGAGTCACGATTGTTCACAGGGCCACAGCCGTATGGCTGAGTGCGGTGAACCACTACAACTAGACAAATGATACAAATCAGGAACAGACTAAGTACCCTGTAACTGATGATATCTCCCCTCTTAGGAGCTCGGTAAGGTTCCCCATAGAGCTGTTATCATTAGTTTCGTTTTAAGAAACCGAAATAGTGTAGATCGGATGGTTAGAGGGTTTAGTCTGGCTGATTGTGTCTCATTGTACCTCTACTACATGAATCTTTATCCACGTTATTAACCACTTTCATGTTCTCACACCGAGACGAGTATCTCCCTAATGCCCTAATATTTTACAATTGATAAAAGGAATGTCAAGGGATAGAACACGTCATAGTTAAAATAGCCAACATACGCTTTTAGCTATTTGACAAATGACAAGAAAACTAGAGCTTAAGCATTAGACGCTGAATCAAACTGTTTTTGTTACACTTTTTCCATTGTGAAATGAATTCACGAACAAGAATTTAGCCATTGGCACAAAAGGACCCAACGTGTATTCATTTGTCAGTGTGAATCTGCAATCTGATATTTAACAATCTTAACTGTCTGTTACTTTATCTGTTTGCATATTGCACAGTTCACTCTTTTCGTCTGGGTTTACTGAACACAATCTAGGAGCAACCTCTGTTTTCGCAGACTTGCATAATTGATTTCTTCGTTTGAACGACATGAAGTCCGAAAAAAGTAAACTTAATATCACTCAACAGAAAATGAAAACAAAACTGCATCGAATTTGAAACGTCAGGTTCACCACTTTCTACTGCAATCTCACGTAGTGTACGTTTTCGAGGAGATGGATGTAATATACCTGAAAGAAACTATATTATATTTAAATGACATTCCCATTGGCGAGGCGGTGCGGTAGCCTAGTGATTAAAGCTTTCGCGCGTCACGCCAAAGACCCGGGTTCGATTACTGGTGTCCCCCGCAGTGATATTGCTGGAATATTGCTAAAAACGGCACTAAACCATACTCACTCACTCCCATTGGCGAAATGGCCGCCTCCGTGGTGTAATGGTTCGAGCTTCCGCCCGGAGAGCGGAAGGTCGCGGGTTCAATCCCCGACAACGTCATACCAAAAGACGTTAAAATATGGTACTTGTTGGTCCCTGCCTGGCGCTCGGCATTAATGGGTACAACAAGGACTGGTCGGCTCGGAGTCAGTATAATGTGTCTGAGTGGGTATTCATGCTTCACTGCGGAGTGGTATCTGAGTGGGCTAACACTATAAAACCAGCTTCAGTCTGGGCTAGTGCAAGCAGCCGCACATACACATACACACGCATGCACGTCGTCATATGAGCGAAATATTCTCAAGCACGACGTTAAACCCAATTTCACCTCACCTCACCTCACCCATTGGCGAAATCAAGTTGCACTGGCTGATGCAGATTTGAATACCTTTCGCAAACTTGTATTGACAATAATAGTCAATGATGTAAGTTCTCGCATTACCAAGTAACGAAAAACACAGTCAGCGTTACGATAGCTTTATTACACTACCCGGAATAGTTTACCTACCCATGACATGCTCATGTAGAGAGGACGCTGAAAAAGACTCTTTGATGAAGTCATAACCAGTTAAACTCGTGTCACAGGCCCGTCTATAATAATTTTTCCTCTGTGTAAAACGCTCCATTCTTCTGCATATATAGACCTGCGAAATTTACAAATGTCTTTGTGGATGTATGTATAAAAACATATATGACTGTGTTTGTTATTGATTCTTAATTCGATGACGAAGTGCAGCTCAGGTACGGCGACGAGGTACATGTTTGCTGTATTCGTGGGTAATGATATGTAATGTGAATTAAGTTAATCAAGGTGCCCCATAGTGAGTTCACAATATTTCTTTTTTAACAAAATTCAGTATCGAACAATGGCTCTTCTTAATAGTATATGATGTTACTATTCTTTTGCATTATGTCCAAACATAACGTTATAGTATTCCATGTATATTTCCTCAACCCCCTCCTTAATGTTCCCTGGGAATCATCAATGACAATATCGATTATAATTCTTCTTGCTAAACTCTTCATATCATCTCCACATCAATCATTCGTCCTTCAGACTAAATATATATTTCCAAAGGTATTAAATAGAATCTGCATCTTCCGACAACTGAAATGCCAAGCTCTATCTTCATCACAAAAAACTCATATCTAGTCGCGCCATACTAAGCCATTCTTGAAAGGCATAATCCATGATGTCTTTCATGTGATTAAGTTCTCGCAACCATCTTCCTGTTTTACCTTGAGCTTTATCTATAACCCACGCAGATTACCCCAAATGTGTAACACCAGCTGTCAACACGGCACAAATAGTGATATTTCATTAATAACCTAACATCTTTTTACACGTTAATTTGGGCTTCAGGGAGTAGAGCAAACCCACAGTTTTACGTAATGACAACTGGACCTAACAACCTCCTATATATTTGACGCTCTCCACAATGTTATAATGAAAGTCTCTGTGAAGTAGTGTCTATAGATATAGTCTGATTGCCTTATCAGTGACGTGGGCATTGTCCCGGGGGAGAAGTGGCTAAACTTAGCATGAGGCCCAAGAATATAATATCATGTCTGTGTGAGACTGGTACAGTGCAAAGAGATAATTGGCCCAGACATTTGAAGATGAAGGAGGCTAATAGCAGGGATGCCACTAACATTCTGGCCGAAGCTGGGTGGGAACTGAGCCCACGGGGGACCTTTCTACCACCGGTTACCCCGACTGATTACGCATTATTTCCAGTGAGCATGACGGTAACGTAATCTACAAAGTGGATGTCATTTTCAATAGCGGAAATCACGACGCGACAAGCAATGTTACTTAACACTGATCATTCAGTTGTGTGTCAATCGAAACCCTTTTAGGTGATTAGCATATTGTTATACGTGTGGTCTGTGTAACAGCTGGGATTATAAAACCTGAGAGAAGAGTATTCTCTGACTACTGGCAACAGCTGCATAAAGTCAGTAGATGTGTGTTCTGATATCAGTGACTATAAAACAAAATTGTATACCTAGATATTAGTCGTGTGTAAAGTAGCCTACACGTACATGGTATGAAAGGCATTCAGTACATATTTTAGCCATTACAATAAAATCAGAAAATAATGAAATTAGATGCATAGGAAACTAAAGAACACACCTATTAATCAAACAAACAAGCATAAAACATATGGATACACGTTTGAGATAAAAGCATATTTCTATTATATTCTCAATGCATTTACGTGCAGTACATCGTCACGGCCCATGTAAACTATTCAACGAGTCACAGGTGGACATGTTTGTATTACAACGATTGTATTTCAAAGTGTATAACGAGCAAAAGCAACTTATGTTCGTTTTGAAAAGCAGTTATAATATTATATATAATGTCATGGTATCTAACAGGGACAAGTGTGGTAATATAATTGAATACTCACTTTAGGTTTGCCAATAATTCAAAAATGCAAATTCAACTTTTTTTAACACTCACTAAATATACCCTAGGTTTCATAAACTGTTTTATCTGTAGCAACCTGGCAATAAAGCACTAGCTTTCTCCGCCATCGATTCAAAGAACTCAAGGATAGGAATCAGGTTCTTGAAACACGTTTTTACCACTCAGCAGTTTATATTTTATTACATTAATTGTTATTAACAATATGGAACAACAAGTGCTGAGTCTCAAAGATTCGCGACACGGTGTTACATCAGTTCACAAGAAGAAGAGGTGTACTGGGTGTACTAGTCATGATGCTTCAACGTAATGGTTTCTGTACTAGTCATGATGCTTCAACGTAATGGTTTTTGTACTAGTCATGATGCTTCAACGTAATGGTTTCTGTACTAGTCATGATGCTTCAACGTAATGATTTCTGGACTAGTCATGATGCTTCAACGTAATGGTTTCTGGACTAGTCATGATGCTTCAACGTAATGGTTTCTGTACTAGTCATGATGCTTCAACGTTATGATTTCTGTACTAGTCATGATGCTTCAACGTAATGGTTTCTGTACTAGTCATGATGCTTCAACGTAATGGTTTCTGTACTAGTCATGATGCTTCAACGTAATGGTTTCTGTACTAGTCATGATGCTTCAACGTAATGGTTTCTGTACTAGTCATGAGCTGCGTCGTTATTATATCACTGTGCTTCCGCTACTCTGAAAAGGACGAATCAGTTGTACTCTATTTCAAACAAATTTGTTCTAGGGTCTTGCGCCAGAACAGATCAACTCCCAAAATCACAGCTTTGACAAACTCAAGTTATTGTAAAATATGTCAATAATATACGATCTTTGACAACAGAGGCTGGGATCGCAAAATAGGCATGTCCACGAAATACTGTCACAACCAGTGTTAGTATTACATGGACGGGCAGGAACATTTTTTTTTACATGCCCCTGTGGTTTTGAGATGCATGCACAACAATTATCTGGATCTCTGGTATTATGTCAAATAAATGAGTAATGTCTATCGGGATTGGATAACTCTTTGCAGATACTGCAGGATACAGTGTTATTCAAAACTGTTTAATACAAGTGCATTGTCATTAAACACATGATCTTTTGCCGGATGAGAGATAGATTGAAATGAAATCAATATTTTCTTAATCACCACGGAGAAGAGGAATGGAATATAAAGCCATATCTACAGTGAGTGTCCGGTGTCTTTATCAACCTGGATAACTCGGTCGATTAGGGTCAACGTGGTGCAACTGACCTGGGCCCCGTTCCTCAAAGCGATCGTAGCGCTAAGGTGATCGTAACTCCCATACTTTAACATAGACTTACGACTGTCGTAGCGCTACGATCGCTTTGAGGAACGGGGCCCTGTCCTTCTATCGCAAGGTACACAAGGTCAGGTGATTTGTCACAAAACGGGAAGCCGTCTTGTATTATGTACAAGATATCAATCGGAAAGTTGGACGGTAACGAGCTGCTTACAGCAATACTTGTATGTTGCAAAGATAGAATAAACAAATCACCTTCGATGTCTGTGCGAAAAGAAGTGTGTTATATCTCTTACCTTTTCCTACAAACATGTGTATCCATGTGGGAGATACGTAACAATATCATGTCGAAAAGCGCACGTTAAATCTCCAAATCATCATCATAATTACCATCATCATCATCATCACCATCATGTGTACATTGAAGCTTGATTATGTAACTTAAATAGCATTCGTTTACAACACTGTCATTATCATTGTTTTGTCATGTACCAAGAGCCACATTTATACCACAAACACATGAAACACAAATGTTGCGCTACCGATGGCACAGTGGAGTGGAGCCAAACAGCTTTGGGAGGATGTACTGAATAAATGTTCAACTTCTCGATCTGCCATGGTATGATCCTTGGTCTATCGTCACGATACCCGTGCTCAAAGGTTTGGCCGACAACGACAGTCATGATCAATGATATTTAAGGAAATTGTGTACAACAGGTTCACAAAATGTTACAAAAGAGTTACTTTAGGTAAGTACTGGTTCGTTTGGATACCGGCCCAATATCACACTTTCATAATCATAATTACATCATCATCATCAGCAGCAGCAGCAGCAGCAGCAGCAGCTCAATAAGAATATGTTGAAATCTTGACACGAATATAACTTATCTATCAGGTGCTGCTTTTATGTTATAACCACATTCCGTACATAATGTATTTATGACATACGTTTATAGATATTAAAATTTAATATTCATACTGAACAGACACATCCATGGTAATAAAGAAATGAAGTTTGCAATGAAGATACAATAAATAAATAAGACATTTTAGAATGTAATGAATACTGTCTGTCTTCTACATATTCAAAGAATCTACATGTTACCAGAGCTAGTTATCAAGCATAGTTTGCATATACAACACAGGATAATCAGTCTTGACCTTGAAAAGTGATTTTGATATCTGTTACAAATTCAAAATAGGGTTAGATACCCTGTTATTTCCTTTTTGTAAATAGAAGCGACAAAACCCTTTCCACATCCAGAAGAAATCTCTGTCGACAGCAGAGTCGATTGTACAACTGTGAGGATATCATGAGTATATATGAATATGAGTTTCGTGAACACCAAGCCGTTCTTCACACTGTTCCCACACACAACTAAGTCTTGTGAAGTAAATCGCAAGAAACACAAAGGAAATGACATACTTCGTAAAGATGCTTAAACTCGTAGCAACAACTAACCTCTCGTTAAGCGTCGAGATCTATCAAATCTGCAATCTCAGGCCAGATAAAGCTATTACTGTCGTGATAGTCCTTGACTTGTCTGGCATTTAGCCTGAAATTGGACAACTGTCATCCCGGACACCGGACACCGGAATCCGGTTACAAGACATGTTTGAACAGGGAAACATAACTACAAGCACGGACTTCTACTGATGCAGGACACGCAAAGCGTCTGACACACTGCTACTTACCCTCACAATTCAAACTGCAAATTGCCGAGGTTGACAAGTTATAACGTCTGTCATGTTGCTGTTTCGGTAATACCACAAAATTCAATCAGCTGGCGAGTTGTACTGTCATGATGTTAAAGAGATCCAACGAAGACAATACAGCGGCTATGAATGAAGTAATAATCAAGTATTGATATTCTCCGGTGTCACCTTCTGATTAGCCTCTGGATTACCACTGGTCTATGAAGGGTTCCTTGTCTCAAAGGGTATAAAGAAGGTGTTAATGAGCTGCCATTGTTCCTGTCAAATTGTAGATGCCGCAGGTGGTCTCACTCAGAGGTGCAAACCTCTCATTTCATACCACAACTGATGTCCGTGTAATTCTGGCAATCAACCACATCACCGCCTCGGTAATCAAATCACTCAATTTGCCAGGTCTCCTGAGGTTCACAAGCCAGTCAGTAAAAAGTCAGAAGGATTGGTTGGCGCGATGGGTTACAAAATCATGGCATATGCACGCGCAGTTTAGTACCCAACTTGTTACGGTCGCATGTAGTACGAAGGCGTGTGACAGAATGACAGATTCAGGCAACCTGCGACCTGTCCGCTCAGAAGGCTGATGGGTGCCAGTATTGATCGTGGGCACATTAGTGGGCTGTTATCACATGGTGCCGGGCTTGGGCAATTTTCGCTATACAGCTGACAAACAATTCTCCTTCATTTGTCATTTGGAATATTAGTCACGCCGTATCAGTTTATCTCTTATTGTAATGTCCTTCTACATAAACATTTTCACAGGAGACAAAGGCTGTTTCTATTGACTGAAAACAGTCCAAACGTGATAAATACAGTTTATGTATTGCACCAGCCTAGTCGATGTTCTGTCATATCTCACACGTAGTATTAGACAGTTTGCAGGTATAAAGCTAATTATACATTGTGCAACCAACATACATGTAGGTTCGAATTGAATTAAGCTTTCATATATCTAATTTGGATTATTGCGAAAGGGGTGTTTGGTTAATGAAGGTTGTTTTATTCTCTTATTAATTAGATAACATGGGCCCACACAATGACAATTGTTCAATACAGAAATTGCGCAGGTAACACATAATCAATAATACTGTTCATAAATTACGAGGAGCATTACTGAATGTGTGACACAAAGCCGTGGTGTTCAAATCTTTTTAGTGGTATTATTTTACAGCATTAATGAATATGAAGTTTCAGTAACTGAACAAAATATAATAATAATAGAGTTGTTATTTCGATCGACATCAATATCAACGGACGAATATTTTTAACGACATTAACTGATTAGAACTGCCCGAGCTCGTTCATGTTCCAGGGATATGGTTACAATATTCCGTTTTAATTGTGTATATTATTACGCTCGTTAATATCATGAAGGTGATTTACCGCAATTGTGCAGAAGGGTGTTGGGTAAATCAGCGAATTTGAAACTAGACCCGATACCATGTTACATAGTTTATGTCAAATCGGTATTATTACAATGCAAAATATTAAGTCTTGCAATCAATATCTCTAAATAGCTGTGTTATCGTGGTAGGTTATGTAACAGACATGTGGATAACATGCTTCTCTCTCGCACTCACTCAACACAAAATACAGCCTATGACAAACAGAACCTTTTCTTAAGATCTCAAAGCATCCTGAATGTTTAAAGGAGAACCCTCCATGCGAACATAATGCGCATTATTCTACTCACCAAGAGATGGTGGTGGTACTTGAAAGAAAGTAAATGTCAACCCATCTCAGCCAGAAGAGACTGCAATGATGGCTGCCAGCCTCGTCGCTGTAAGTAAAGTCTGGTGCAGACAGCTTGCCTTGGTCAGCAATCACGTCCTTGACCACTCCAATACTATCGGTTGATGGAAATGGAAGTACAATGATATAATGTGGTCATCGACGTGACTGAGTACGGTTTTACGCGCTTTTAGCAATTTTCAAGCAGTATCATGGTTGAGGACGCAAGAAATGTGTTTCACACATTGTACCCATGTGGGTAATCTAGGTAGTCGGTGTGACGAACGAACGCTTTAACCACTTGGCTACCCTACCGTCCCCTACCCGTCAATACTGGAGATATCCCATACAACAAGCTAAAGGTGCAGAGAATATACCGTAAACTACAATAAAGACCATGAAATCAATGCCTTGGTGTCCAGGTTGCTTTGGTTTTTGTTACGTTAAGTATTCGAGCCTTCGGGGTGACTGTGCCATCTAAAATAAGGATTATCTCGCAAATAATGTTATTTTCTAAAGCGGACTTGAACTGTCTAACTTGACTGACTGAGTGAGTGACTTCAGACCTACACCGCTTTTAGCAATATTCCAGCAATATCACGGCGTTGGACACCAGAAATGTGCTTCACACAGTGTACCAATGTAGGGAATCAAACCCAGGTCAGCGACGTGACGAGCAAACCCTTTAACCATTTGGCTACCCCTCCGCCCCACATGTCTAAATTGAATAAATTCTTGTCGGTGTACATTGAAGCTATTATGCAATTATGCTGTCTTTTTAAGCCAGTTGCATGAAGTGTGTATGACACTTTTTATAGCTTTATACATATGTACAGAAATATCTTCCGTCGTTACGCCACATTACGTAATGAGTATTTCTGGTTCACATCTCTTTATCAAAATACGTGGGACTTCCCAATCCTGAATACTTGAGTGAACACGCTTTTGTGAATGCCTATACCGGTGTCGATGCACAATGAATCAATCGTCTTCTCATGCCCACATGTGGGTACTTTGGAAGGCATTATTCTACTTATATGTGATTACATCATTGTACTATAAGTATACCAACAGCTGCTACATGTATCTAGTACAAAATATCTAAAGTAGCAACGTGGCAACCCTGATTCGCCATCATCTGATGTCATCACCGAAATCACTAATTCGTTTACAAAATGTTCACCACTGACATATCAACCTAAGGTAATCTGTTTCGGCGGAATATGTCCGAAATATTGCCGATGTGACGTTAAATATTAACTCACTCACTCACTGTTTCGGCGGTTAATCGAGACTGGCTGATTTCTAGCGGTGATGTTATATGTTACGACATGTATATCTAATATGTCAATGGAACCTGTATAAAAAGTAATACATGTACTTGGAGACATAGGTATTGTGTATGCCACATTCAGCAATATTTAAGCTAAGAAATCGTCGTCTGTAATTAATCTAGTCTTGGTCAGACAAGTCAATCACTGTCAGGAACTTGATTATTTACAGACCGTAGTCCATCATATATCTTGATTTCAGGTGTGTACGCGGCAAACAAAAACACAAATTAAACATCTAAAGGTACGGATGTTTAAGTTTTTGTTATTTGTAAATGAAACGTAAAAACATGAACCATTACATAACAAATACAAAGGGGTAAAATTGATAGGTTAAGAACACATCGCAACCTTTCCACCTGAGCCTTTAGCAGATAGCTGGACAAAAATGTAGTCCATGGTTATCTTATAACATACATACATACATACACACACACACACACACACACACACACACACACACACACACACACACACACACACACACACACACACACACACACACACACACACACACACACACACACACACACACACACACACACATACATACATACGTACATACAAAAGAAAAATCGATAACATCAAAATGGAGCCCAAAGCAATTCTTAATGCCAGTCAAGAACTGAGTCAATCCAGATTTGAGATGGACTCCGTTCATTCTTCAGGGTCTGGGAGACAGCCTCAGAAAAAGAGCTTTCTCCAACATTAATCTGACTAGCGTTAAGAATATGGAAATACTAACAACCAATTTTGTATTTCAGTTGAATCTGGTATTGAGCAGTATTCGTGTCACATCACTTAATGTAAGCAGCGACATGTCCATTGCACACTTGATGCATAATGGCTTGCAATAATAATTCTTGTGTTTAATCTGCGCTACTGCACACACAAACAATATCGTGTATCCACAGTAACGGATGATGTGCCACTTATCGTGAAGTAAAAGAGCAAAAAGGACATCAGATTTAAAGTCACCAACACGAAAGTCGATTCAGCATTGTGTGTTTTACTTGACTGCCAAACAAAATGTGCTTCGGCGCCATCAATGTCATCACGAAAAGGAAATTCAATGAATTTGAACAATAACAGCTTTTGTAACAGGCCGTATAATTTGTGTGGGATGAGGGAAATGAAGAGAACTAATCAATTAAATCAAAAACTGGTCATACTGTCAAATAACATCCGTTATGATCATCAATATACCCAGAATGATTACCGATGCAATTCACCACTATTTTGACAACACATTTCCGTCCTGGTGAGGTTACCGTTTGTCTTGAGTTTACATGTGTATCCAACGGGTGTCACTTGTTGCACAGTTTACGATAGTGATGCATTAACTGGCATGATGACATGCCTGAAAAAGGACAATGGATATTTTCATAATGGAAAGGCATATATTTACTGATATCATATCGGCAGGTCAGAGGAAAGATACACGGATCATTCCGCGTTACTTCACTGTAGGGAAAGATATGAAGATCATTCCGCGTTACTTCACTTTTGGGGACATAAAAATCATTCCGCGTTACTTCACTATGAGCGTGAAAAGTGGAGTCTTGACGACTATGCCGTGAAAACTGAGGATTTCAGCAAGTTCAAAACCACAGTACTACGTACGTTGTCCTGGGCGAACATAACTCCTTTTAGTGACCTTTCCACTATTTCATAATATTCTCACGCCGTTTCCTCAGCAGACTGACACAATATTGTCCATTAATGATCTGACCTTTTCTGGTGTACAAGGGGCTTATAAAAGTTCTGACTCAAACCACGATGCGTTCTACACTGTCAGTATGAAAGTGATGACGGCGATCGGACACTCATTATGATAACTGATTGACCGATAAGGGAATGTGTCCCAGCAATAAGGAAACATGAATATGAATGAAGTATATCAGATGCCATTAAGGCTTTGAAAATAAGAATAAATATGTGAGATTGTCTTTACTTGTACTTGGGAACTTCAGACTCGTCAAAAGTCAAAATCTAAGATCTTTATTATGCACCGGCCTATATACATATAACATATATACAATCAAAATATATGGGAAACATGATGTAAAACCATTAAGAGTTTAACAAAGTCTGTCTCTTATTATAAGCGGGATATATGAATTTGCATAAATTTAATAATGGTTTATTTGAAGCAGAAGTTAACAGGCTTTTGAACATAAATATATTTGGAATACGGTTGTAAATATGTGGAAAATAAGATAATCTTTCATCAGAATAATATAATATTGCATACTAAAAGAAAATGGAATTCATCCTCTATACCGAATTTACTAACAGGACATGTGCGTAGAGATGCATCAATATTTAACCATCTTCCTTCGTTTATTTTTAATCGTAATAGGCCTGCTCGGAAGTTTATAAGAATATTACGATATTTGTTTTCATGTATAACACTTACATATTTTTCAGGTTCTAGTAAACTCTTACATTCTCTATACAAATTGTAGCATGAACTGTTGTCGAGAGTACAATGCCAAGATTGGTAAA